TAATGTGTACTTTATTAATTAGTATAATTAATATAAGTAAGATAAGTAAGAGCAGAATATGGAAATGGAAAGAACATGGAACATTTCCATGTGAAGGGTGTAAAGTAGCAGAAATTAATTTTGTAGCTGTTTGCCTGAGAGGTTTTGTATTTTGCAAATGTCTTCTGCAGATTAAAAAGTATCAATGATTTTGAAGAATGCTCAATGTTGACAAAGATCAGTGAGAGTATGTTGAAATTTGTTGTTGTTGTTGATTGCTGTTGACTTGAGCACCACTCATCTCGACTCTATGAACAAAAGGTCTGAAACTGGGGAGCTCTGGTGGCCTAGTGGCAAGGAGCTGCAACTACAATCCCAGAGGTTCGAATCCACCAGATGCTCTGCCGGGGAAGGAGGGACAATCTCCTCTTGTACCAGTCAGATCTGATTTGACGGTACACGCAAACAAAAATTAAAAAAAAAAAAAGGCCTGAAACCTTTTTATAACCATCATCAATTATCAAAGTTTATAGAGTTTCCAGAGGCATGTTGTCTAGAAAGTGGATGCCACTCCTGCTTCCAAATTTAGGACAGTTCATTTCACAAATGTTCATGTTAGTAAAACCTCATTTTCAAATAATTGTATTAATGACATATTATTTGGCCCTGTTGGCTTGCTTAACATAGTACAAAACTCAAAATGAAAGCAATCTTATAATTTCCAAAATATGTTTATGAGTTTCTCTGAGTCTCAAGAAGATTGCATCATTTTGACAGCTAACATTGGCCTGTTATCAGCCACTGGGATGTTGTTAGATGTTGACATTACAATTTTATCTTCAAAATAATTTTAAGTTTTCCCAAGTCATTCTTAACCAATCCTATAGTTAATTAAGTGGCTGCAAGTATATGTGTAAATATTATTTCATGATACACTCTACATATATGTATCTCCACAAATATGAGTGCCTAAACCTTATAAATAACAATATAATAGAAAAATTCCTAGTAATATCCTGTTAATTCTGTTGTGGTTAGATGCCACTGAGTCAACTACAACTCATAGAGATTCTGTATTCAACAGAACAAAACCTTGCCTGATATTGTACTATCCATACAATAACCCAGCAGGATTTAAATTTTTTTAAGTAATTTAGAAGTTAAACAAATAGATTATTTGAAGATAAAATTTGAATTTTTCATAATACTTCAGAGTTATAAGCAATGTTGTTGCTGTTGCTAGGTTTTATTCAGTGGAGTACGACTCACAGCAACCCTGTGATCTAAAGTTCTAAACCCCATTCTATCCTGCACCATCCTCACACTTCCTGACACACAAGAGCCCATTGCAGTAGTTACCGTGTCAATCCACCTGGTTGAGGGCTTTCCTCTCTTTCACTGACTTTTCACCCTTCCCAGCATCATGTCCATCTCCAAGGAATAGCACATCCTACCAACATGCCAAAAGCTTATGAGGAAAAGTCTCATCATTCAGTTTGAAGACTAAGATGTGGCTGACTCAGGCCCTAGTCTTTCCTATTACTTGCTATACCTGTGAAAGCTGGATAATAAATAAGGCTGGCAGAAAACAAATTGGTACCTTTGAGCTATGGTGTTGGAGAAAAGCACTGAACACCCCGTGGATGGCCAAGAGGATATGATATGAGCAGTGAAGAACAGGAGTATGTGAAGAAAACAAACAATGCAAATTTTAAGAGTAGGAGAATCTATTCATTTTAATACTAGATTGCAATTCTGTTAGGCAAACTGATTTTGGAGGAGATGATATTCTGTCTCCCTGTTGAAGGAGTAAATGGGCATCAAGTGGTGATGGCAACCAGGGGGACTCAGAGGAAATATATTGTTTCAAGACTTCATGATTTATTGAGTGGGGCCTTTAAGCTGAAGGATCTAAAGAACAAAGCTGTGAGTTGCAATACTGAATGGTGCTATGGGCAGAAACTTGAAAGATACAGGAAGCATTAAAAGAAAGTGGAAGGAGTATACCAGGTCATAGTACAAAAAGAAATTGGCTGACAGAAGAATTTCAAGAAACAGAATATAATCAAGAGGCAATGGTGATGAAGGAGGAAGTGGAGGCTGCTCTAAACAACTTGACAAAAAATAAGATCCCAGGAATTGATGAAATACTAATTGACATATTTCAATGTTTCTCTGAAGGAGCTCACCAGGTTGTGAAAGAAATATGGAGGACAACTACCTGAACTTCTGGCTCGAAGAGATCACTTTTATTCATTTCCATTAAAAAAAAAAAGATGACCTGACAGAATGTGGAAATTATTGAACAATATCACTAATATCAAAGCAAGATAAATACTGCTGAAGATTATCTAAAACGCCTAATAGTACATCAACAGAGGACTACCAGAAATACAAGTTGGGTTTAGAAGAGTTCATGGCATTAGAGATATTATTGCCAATTTCAGATTAATCTTGGCAGAAAACAAAGAGTCTCAGAGGGATATCGCTCTATTTTTCACTGAGTATGCCAAGGCATTTGGCAGTGTGGATTACAACAAACTGTGGCTAGCCTTGAAGAGAATGGGAATCCCAGCACACTTGATTGTGCTCATGTGAATATTAGGACCAGGAAGTAGTCCTCAGAACAGAGTAAGGAAACACTGCAGGATACAAAATCATTAAAGCAGTGTGTCATGAATGTGTCCTATCTCCATACCTTTTCAATATATATGCAGAACAGATCATTCAGGAGGTGGGCTCTATAAGGAGGAATGTGGCATCAGAATTGGAGGAAGACTCATCAACAACCTGCATTATACAAATGACACAACTTTGCTTTCAAGAGGACCTGAGATGTTTGGTGCAGAAGGTCAAGGACTGTAGTCATCAATATAGATTAAAATTCAACAACAAGAAGACAAAGATTCTCACCATTGGGCCAACTGGCAGCTCCATGATGGATGGAGAAGAAATTGATGTTGTTAACAATTACAACTTGTTTGGCTCTACAATGAACAGTCTTGGCACTAACCATAGATGAAAGCGAAACAATTCATGTGAAGTTAAATTATGGAATATTCCCATATAAAATTGCTAACAAAAATTTATAGAGAGAAGGAGGGAAAGGCAGGTAAACATGAAATGCAATGAGTAAATTTGTTGTGAGTGTATTTTGTGGAATAAACATAATTTTCCTCTATATATTATAAGAAATATATTTTCAATAATGGTATTATCATGTTTACCATTGTTTTTTTCTTTATAAATAAAAACTCCATGTATCGAGTCAGGACTAACTCAGAACTGACCTTCCATTGGGTTTCTGAGTCTGTCAATTGTATAAGAGGAGATTGTCCATCTTTCTCCTATCTGTTAACAAAAAGATATTTAATAGCATGTATTCAATGGCATCCACTTCCTAAATAACATGCCTCTCAAAACTCTATGGACTTTGAAATGGCAATAATTATAGAAAGGCTTCAGGTCTTTTGTTCACAGGGTCGCTAATAGTCATGGCTCAACTTGATGGCAATCAACAACACTACAACAGTCCAAAATAATATACTAATTGTTCTGTTTGTATAGGTGTTTAAAATGAAGGTTTAAAAAAGACCATTAAGAAAATAGTTGAATGATCACTGCAGTTTTTGTTTTATCACCACTAATAAGACTTTTCCTCAAATAATAATTTAACATTTTAAAACTATAAAACTGAATTGGTAATACATCCCATGTCTATTTCATATGCTGAATTCTGGTGGAGAGGCATAGAGGTTAAGAGATTGCTAATTGAAAAAAAAAAAAAAAAGAGATTGCTAATTGAAATGTTGGTGGAAACATCCCCTAGAAAAGAAAAATGTAGCAATGAGCTTTGAGAAAGATTTACAACCTCAAGATAATGTAAGGGACAGTTCTACTTTGTCCTATCAGATCACTACAAGTTGAAATCTAATCAATGGATTTTTATTTCATGTGCACTATTATTCTTCAAGCTGAGGCTAACAACAAGTTGAGTTGAAGAGAGCAAAAGGTCATCATAAAGACAGGAGAAAGAAAAAACTGGAAAAGCTGTAAGAAGAGATACTGATAATTGCACTAAAGCATCAATAAGACAAAACAAAAGGAAGAGATGATGAAATAAAAGAGATGAACAGAAGATTTCAAAGGGCAGGACAAGAAGACAATGCAACATATTAAAAAAATGTGTAAAAAGCCGGAGTCAGACAAGAAAAAGTAAAGAATTCGCTGGGCATTTTTCAAGCTGAAAGAACTGAGAAACAAATTCAAGCTTTGAATTGCTACACTAAGAGATGCTATGGGTAAAATTTTGGATGATTCAGGAAACATCAAAAGAAGCTGGAAGATATACACAGTCACAGTGCCAAAAATAGTCAAACCTGAAAAATTTCACAAAGTACCATATGAACAAGAGCCAGTGGTAATGAAAGATTAAGTTCAATCTGCACCAAAACGAACTGTCAAGAAATTGGCCCTAAGAATAGATGGAATACCAACTGGCAATGTTTCAATTTGATCTTTATGAGTTCCTTTTCGTTACCGACAATTCTCAATTTTCATGTGGTGTACATTCCACATTCTAATTATGAATACGTATTTGCAGCTGTTGCTCCTCATTTTGAGTCTTGCAATAGATGGAAAAAGAAACTGAAGCTGTTAGAGATTCTCTCTTGTTTGGCTCAACAATCAACACTCTTGGTACCAGCAGTCAGGAAATCAGGAGGCGTATTGTAAGTTCACTAGAAGAAGCACTGATGCCTTTGAGTTGTGGTGTTGAAAAAAAACGTACTGAATTGAATGTCCTATGGACCTCCAAAAGTACAAATGGATCTGTTGGAAAAGTGCAGCCACAGTGCTCCTTGGAGGCAAAGATGGTGAAGCTCCATCCCTCATACTTTTGATATGTAGCTTGGTGAGGCTGTTCCTTGGAAAGGGACATGATGCTAGGGCATCAGAGAAACAGGAAAACCCCCCTACAAGATTGATTGACACAGTGACTGCAGCAGTGGGCTCAAGTGTATCAGAGATGACTATGGCACCAGATAGGACAGGGTTCAGGGTTGCTGTTGATAAAGCCACTCTGAGTCATACCTGACTCAATGGCATCTGACAACAACAGTGCTGTTATTGGTACCATAATGACACAATCAGTACAATCAAACTGAAGGAAATTAATAAGGATTTAATTATTTACTGGATGAGGACATATATTATGCTGTTAAATTCTATACACTTAAACAAATAGTATAGACCTCTTCAGAAATGTTTCTTAATAAAAAATATAGATATTTTAAAATTATTTCTATCATATTTACTAGATGCTTCTGGTTTCATCTAAATATCAGGCCAAATGCTTGAAGAACCAAACTCTAGATTTGTTTACTAAAACAAGCAGTTCAAATGTAAATTTGTCATTCTGAATATGCCCCTAATTTGCTTGAAATCATATACACATGCAAAAAAATTACATTAGTGTATGTCATTCAAAAAGTATTCTTGAATTTGTTATCATTAAAGTAAATGCAACCTCTGTTTCAAAGAGTATGCTTATTGTCTTCATTTTTAGCTCCTTCATGAATCAACTGACCAACAGACTATCTTACCACATACACAGACAGAGAATTCACCAAAGAGATTATGTCACAACAAAGAAAAAAAATAAAATGGGAAAATTTGCCAGTACCAGTACTTTTTTCTTATACTTTTATATATTCATTTAGTATATTTTAAGAGAAAAAAATAATTTAGTATAAAATAACAGCAGTGACGCATTTTCACACAATATGTGCATGAGTTATTTTAATCATTATTATCCATGTGTCCTTAATGAAAATCTTGCCCATTCCTTATTTGTTTCACCTTAAAAGTGAAAGTATAAAAAAGTAAATCAATTTTTTTATATTCTTATTAAAACTCCTTAGTTTAGTTACTAGGCAAAACCAATTTTTTAATAACTAGTGCTATGTTGGATTCTAGTTCTTAGTACAGGGCAAATAGAAGTATTTCCATTTAACTTTTTCTGTTTAAGCAACATATGTAAAGTTAATTGAACACAATGGTCAAATTACTCAATCTATGGTATAAAAAAATCTAGAGTATTATGATTCTTTTCTTAAAGTAATGAAACTTTTAGTCTAAACACATTATCTAGATTCTAGGATAAAACCAAAAGTAATTTATCTCTCAGATTATATATGTATAGTACATTAATACGTCATGGGATTTTTTTTCCCTATTTGAGTTCATCATTCCTAAATCCTGTAGGGGAAAAGTGGGTTATTTAACAGGGTATCCCATAGAGTTTCAGGCACTCAGAAACACTGATGAAGAGATTAGAATTGATTTGATGGGTAAATTGAGCAATCTGCCCTCAAGGAGTAAGTACTTGTTCCGAGATAATTTAATATATCTATGAGTTAGTTTCATCATGAACCAACAAGAGAATTAAGAGTCATTCTTTTATTGATCTAACTAAATGTTAACAACACACTTAATGAAAATAGCTGAGACTCCTAAAGTAAGCAATCCGTGGGCAAAAGTTACACTAATGACTTTTAACTTATGTTATTAAAATCAATCGTTCTCTTAATAGTGTCTGTATCCAGCTTGAGCAGTCCTTAGCTATCATTAGCCTTGGGTATAATATTATTAATAAACTCTTAACTAAAAAGTAATTTCTATTAGTCCTATCATATTCAAATGCAAAGTTAAAAACATATATGCTATTTTGTGTGTTTTTTGTTGTTGTTTTATAATAGCTACCTTAACGATTTAGACAGAATAACAGCTCCTGGGTATGTTCCAAATGAACAGGATGTTCTACATTCTCGAGTGAAAACCACTGGAATTATTGAAACTCAATTCTCCTTTAAAGACTTGCACTTCAGGTAGGATCAAATGCCTTTTCTAACCTTCATTGGATGTATGCACCAAGTTTGAATCCATAATCTGAAGTAGTGGATCATACTCAATGTTCACATGCAGTACCACTACTCTTTATTGCCCTCCAGGATCCTATCACCAGCCTATAGCCCTGCATCACCATGCTCTGCTCCCCCTTTCCTGTCCTGATCCTCAGGACTGTGCTTCTCTCTCTCCAAGAAAAGTGATTTTGTCTTGAGAAAATGCAATCTTCTTATCTTTATTTCCCTTATACTTGAAAGTAACTGTGGGTGGAAAAAATTTTATA